GATGGCAGAGATGGCCCACCACGGTCACCCCCAAAGAGGGTTTTGGGCAATTCCACTCTTCCTCTGCCAGTAATTGACTATTGTGTGGCAAAAGAAGACAAACAAAGTGCAGCACAGGAGGTTCTGTAGCTAGGTATGAACAAGTACTAAATCTGTGTCTCCCAGTTCTCAGCCCTGACACTCTGGGTGAAAGCATTCATCTTCTGTCTGATACTACTCACTGGCATTTTACTTGTCAGGTGGAAGCAGGAAAAATCTCAATAAAATGTTACGTATTAATCACTTGAATTTAAGAAGGCATTTTCTCTTTATCTCCCATTTCCAACCCTTCTTCTCCCCTCTTCTATTAAAGCCCTGAATTAGGAGTGAAAGGCTCATGAGCTTCTGTCTGGAGTAATAAACTCATCTTCTGGCAGCTGATAAGAATGCTTCTTTTCTAACCACGAGAGCAAGGATGCAAGCCTGCGGCAGGGCTCTTCATGCTTAAATCTGGTAGTTTCACTCTCCCTCTTTGCCAGTTGCAGGTGGCCATGATTCATCGTTAAACTCTCGGATAGCCGGGGCATTTCAGGGTGCTCTGCATCCGGCTGACAGATACAGCTGCAGATGTTTTTTTTCTCTTGTGGCCGATACTGTGCATCCCCTCCCTTCTTTAAATATGTTTGGGCCATGATTGTGAGCAGGAGCTGATCAGAAGCGTTTCTGGTGGAAAAAGCAAGTTCTTTGGAAAGGAATCCTTCACAGGAGCACAGAAAACCAGTTTGTATAAAGCTTTTGTCAGAGGTTGGTTCTAGTGTTCTGAAAAATTGAATTTCTGGTTGAAAGAAAAGAGCATCTGCGTAAGCCTCACTGTCCCTTCATGATCTTCGGAACAGTCAGGGATGATATTAGTCTCCCTCAGGGTTTAATTTATATCCCCGACTTTCAGGAAAATACTGCTTCTCTTCGTCATGGCATCAGCATTTGTTGAATAAGTTTGCAAATAATACAGTAATACTTGTCTGCATTAAAGACTCTACTAATCCAGGGTGAGAAGTTTGAACATGGCAAATATTATCCTGACACAAGAAAACAGCTTTCCAAGGAAAAATTATTTCTAAAGGAGTTTTGATTGCTCTGTGCTACAGTATCTGGTAAGTTTACCAATAATGAAATACACTGCAATTTAACTAATTGTTTGATTAGGAGCAATTCTCTAGACATTATAGTGTGTCAGTTTTTCAATGACAGGGCTGACAGATTAGTCTCATATTTTTCTTTTGCTATAAATCACAGAGTATGACTTGCTAGCAAACCCGAAGTATGGAAATGAGTTACAATGAAATGCACAATCACGCAGGGACTGTGGTGTTTACATTTTATTCTAAGCAATAAAGCAAAGGAAGATAGCTAAGCTATAGAGAGTCTTTGTGTGCAAATGGATCCCTTACAAGCAAAATCAAGCCTTGCACAATTATGTTGAGGCACAATTATATGGAACAAACATAGAAATTTACATTTTTTGTATGTGTTCGGTCAAAACACAGTTTACTTCATCAAGAGTTCATAATAAGGAAGTGGTAGCAAAAGGACTGAAGGTAAAAGAGGTTATATATGAGGGTGAAGGAAAGGAATGTAAACAGAACAACTGTAACATACAAGAAGCAATGGGCCTGAATTTCACATATTTCTGGCATGGGAATATCCTCAAGGATCTCTCATGCAAAAAAAAAGTTGATACAAACAGAAATGGCTACTACTGTTTTATTAAGTCATTTATTATCAAGCCATAAGCCATGTCAGTGGAAGCTGATGATCGCTGTGTTATTTGATAAGGTACCGTCCACCTTTTAATAAGTCTGAGACACAGCCTGGGAATTGTTTGGGGTTTTTTTTAAATATCAAAAAATATTTTCAAAACTTTTAATCTGAGTGTTTCCATCAGGGCAATCAATAGCCAATGGAGACAACCCCACCCCGCCTCTGTGAGATCCTTAGAGAGGGAGCACAGGGAACGGATGATTTCTTGGCAGAGTTTTAAGCTAATCCTTCCATGCCACATGCATGGGCTGAAGCACAGCCCTCCTGCCATATCTCAGAAGAGCCCTGCGATCTGATTGATGCCTGCCTGATGCATGAAGCTGGGCTTATTTAACTAACCGTGTGATTTAAACATGGCTCAGTGAAAGCGGGGCAAGCGTGGACATCCATACAAACCTTCCTGTGGGTGTAGCTTGTGCCTCTAATTTTCTGGGGAGAGCAAAAACCTCTACAAACTAGATTAAAGACAGTATATGGGCATTTGCATTCTGAACTCTCGTAGTGAAACTAGTTTCAAAAATGACTGAGATAGTCCAGCTCTACTTCTGTGCATGGACGGGCCCCATTGCACATACAGCCCCCATACTCCAGACCATGCCATGACAGCCTGTATTCAGATTTCTCTCTTGGCTTCCATGCTCAAATGTTGGCTGCGAAGCATGGATGGCTCTTTGGTAAAGAAAACAGCGTTTGCTCAGTGCTCCTTGCTCCCTCCCCAGCAAACCCTAAAGCAACACAGAGCCTGCGGCAAGGGGCAGGAGAAAGATGGTGGGGAGGAATTCACTACCCACCCAAGCCAGGGTAAGGGTGGTCCCTCCCTCACCTGTGGATATAAAGGACCTAATGGGGGTTCCCTATTAGGAGACAGGAAAGAAGAGGTGCATCTTTCAGTCCCTTTGTCAGGAGATTGCTCCATGGTAAGAGTTTGGGTCTCCCGTTTCAGGTAGATCATTGTCTCTGCTTTTGTGAGCACTGCTACATAATCTGGCTTAAAAAAATGCAAAGGTCTTTGCTAGTAAAAAAGCCTCTTTCAAGAACTGTTCCCATTTTCTACAGGAAATCTGACACTGTCTTTGTCCAAGACCCTGGCCTTTTCTGTGTTTCCATCAATCAGCCCCCTTTCTCCATGAAAGCCTGCCCTGTAGCTCCAGATCCATTTCTTTTCATGGACTTCAATGCATTTGCCAGTGCCTTGATGGCTTTCAGTTCTTGGAATTTCACCGTTTCCTTTGTCCTTGCATCTGAAGCAGTTTAGATGCAGATCTGCTCTTTAAAGAGAACTGGAGCATCAGTCAAGTGGATTACAGCAAAGCTGGCAGGTTCCAAAAGCTTTATGAAAGATACACTCCTTTTTGGCAGGCAGATTGTCCCTTGAAAAGGGAGTTCCATCAGAGCTGAACTTGTCTGGATCTGAGAGTTTCAGATCATTTGCGGAAAACATACATGCTTCATTTTGCCCGCAACATGGATACCCCTGATGAAAAGAAATTATTTCTCTTTACCATTCTTTTAATGTCCCATAAATTAGGAAAGAGCATCAAATAAAACAAGAGTCCATTATCACTTATTATTCCATAACCTTTCCATTCAGACACAGTCTTTGACAAACTAATTAAGGAACTAGCGGTGGCTAATGCATGCACTCAAAATAATGCACATTCATACTCTATTTTCAGCAAGAGCAGACGAGGTTCATTAACGTTATACACTAGCAAATGAATTCAGTTTGGGATAATGCCATCCGATTAAACTTTCCACAGCCCACTTAACTGGGGCTTTGGTGTGTGTTTGACAGACACTTTAAACTCCCTAGAGATCCTCTGCTTTCCCATTTTCATTCCATCCCCTTCTGAAGGCCAGATTCTGTCTGCTCTCAAGTTGACTAGTGACTTGCTCTTTCCATAGAGTTCCCGGGGTTTAAGTGAGATGAATTGCAGAGCTAAATGTTGTCCCGTGTGGGGAAAGGTAAGAGAATGGGATCCAAAATGATGACGTTAACAAAAGGGTAGTTTTTCAGATACACCTTCACAACCACAGCTCAGAAAATGGGTTTCAGGTAAGACCCTGGGCTGGGATTCCAGAAATGGATTAGCATTAAGCTTAATTAAGATAATGACTCTTCCTAACTACCACCTCCCTTTAGCTTGCAACGTGTTTTCAGCGGGTCCTGCCTCTCAGCAAGTTTGTGCAGTGACTACTACTGTGGGACTTACACGGGGAATGCCGGGAAGATGCAAATTGACTGAGTTGCACAAATTTATGCTGTGAGAAGCAGAAGAATGGACAACCGAGCCTTGAAGCCTCAGACAGATGGTGATGGCAGAATGGGACCATCCTCATCTCGCAGGGATGACAAGTTATAAAAACCCAATCAAACAGCCAGCCAAGGATCCTGCAGATGAAGAAGCTGTTGCAAGCACAAGCAGGTGTTTAGAAGTGGAACCCGCTTCCAT